GCAAACCTTAACACTACCAACTGTGCTACGCCAACACTTTGAACTTATGTAAACAAATCAACATTCCCTTCTACAACAAAATCGCTGAGTAGAGGCTTTATAATAGTGCACATGAATCATTTTTCTCGACTAGTTACAAAAGAGCAGAGTAAAAGCTGTAAAACTGCACACGTCTAAAAATAAACCTAGTTGACTGTGAAAATGCTTCCGAAGTTGCTCTAACACAGTTTATTAGCTGAGTACAGGTTGTTTAGTGGTTGAAAAAGCACTTTTGATGTTTATGTTATTCAGCAAGAGTGGTTGGTTGTGTAAAAGCCATCAAATGAGTAATATATTCACTTTGTTAGCTTTGTTTGCAGCTACAAGTTTAAAGTTGATTAGTGTGTGTATAGAAGTGACATTAGCGTTTATTGGCTGATGTTATTCAGTGCGACTGACAAATTGAATAATTGTTGTGAGAAAGTTGAGTAAACGCTCTCCAAAACTATTTTGCTAGCTTTTGCTTGTAGCTGTATCTGCAGCTTCTTTTCAGCTACTTTACAGCACAACGCCGGAAAAGTTGGCTTACAAAGCTGAAAATGTTAGTTGGGAAGTCCAGAGATCTTCCGAAAAGTTCAGAGGTTTTGTGGCAGTTTCATTATATTCAGGTATATTGCAAGTAGAAAATTCCCAGCCCAAATAGGATAAACAAATAAAAAACTAAGACCCGATCTTCTGCGGTTTGCACGAAACTCTACATTATTATGCGTTATGGGTAACCATTCACATGTTTGCTAAAAATCGGCCATTTTGAAAAATTGACAAAAATCGAAGGGCATCAATTTTGGTCACATGTTTAAACTTCTTGTCAACTGTATGACTTTTGTATTGAAATTTTTACTCAAAATTATATTAAAAAAGAACTTTGTATATTTTTCCCAGAAAAACTTCATTTTTCTCTACAACTTTGTGTCTGATGTCATTTCGATCAGAAGTGACGTTTACGTTGCTAAAATTAATTGAAAAAATACAAAGACGCCATCTTGAAAAAAAAATTACAACATCCAAAATGGCTGAACTTTTGTAAAATGTGAATAATTTCCCATAACACACAATTATGCAAAGTTTCATGCAAATCAAAGAGAGGCACAGAAGAAAAAAATAAAGATGATCCAAGTATTTCAGAGCAGTTCCATTAATTAATTACAGGAACTTTCAAGAAGATTCGAGGAGTTATGAAAAATTCCTAAAATTTTAGGATTGTTCCAAAATTTCACGAAAATAACGGGGTCTTCCATGAAAATCAGAAAAATGTATGGCATTTTAAAGAAGTTTCGAGAAATTCTTGAAAAATTTATTAACTTCATGAAGGAACGGAGAAGTCCAGAGAAGCTCAGGGAAGTTTAATGAGTTTTTGGGAACTTCCATGAGCGTCAAGGAAGTACCGAAAACTTTTGAAAAATGTAGGAAACTTCAGCATAGATTTAAGTATTTTAAGGTAGCTTAATCAACTTCTGGAAAGGACACAATTCAGGGATCTAAAAGTCTACAGAACTTTATTGAAGTTCAGAGATCTCTAGAGCAGATCAAATAACTTCAGAGAAGCATAGAAAACTTCAGAAACGACTTTCGGAGAAGATTATAGATCTTTAGTAATTAGTATTTTTGTTTCGGACTGAAATGCAAGAAAAGTAGTAGTAAAATTATGTTTATTTCTGTTGATTATGGTAGTACATTGATTTATCATTTTAATTGATTAGCCTACCTGGCTCTTCATCTTTATTTAATTTGATATTCTAATTTAATATTTGCGTTTTTCAACTAGTTTACAGAATATCCCTTTGGGGATGTGTTTTATTTGAATTGAAAAAAGTGATAACCTACCTAACTACCTAACTACGAGTATAACTTAACCTAACGTGCTAGATCACGTGTGATCTGATGATATCTCAGACAGGTGTCTCTGAACCTTTCCAGGATGAATACTCTCCGTTCGTCTAATGTCTGAATTCCAGCCATGAGGTAGATCTCAGAATTTCTAGTCCACGGGGTCTTAGGGGTCCATCCTAAGGATCTTGTTCTGGATCCTTTGGAGTTTAAGGTGATGGCATTTTGCGCAACTCTCCCAGATTGGCATACTGTACTCGATTACAGGAAGGATGATTTGTTTGTAGACAGCAAGCTTATTTTTCAGGGACAGGGTTGACTTCCTGTTGATAAGTGGATACAACGATCTTATCAAGATGTTGCACTTGGTTTTTGTTTTGCCAACGTGCTCCCTGAAAAGAAGCTTGCTGTCTAGTGTTAGCCCAAGGTATACGACCTCTTTGGACCATTCCACCACTGTGCCGTTCAGGCAGATCTTGTTATTCGCCGACGGAACAAGTCTAGGAGATTTAGAGTGTGGAAAGATAATGACCTGGGTCTTTGCCGTGTGTAAGGAGGATCCTGGCGGGCAATCCAACCTTGAGTTCTGGCAGACGACTCTCGTCGTCTGGCGCATAAGTCGGAATTTGGAGGCCCTACCAGGATCCTCCTTACATTGGTGCCCCACGTTGGGCGCCAATGTAAGGAGGATCCTGGTGGGCAATCCAACCTTGAGTTCTGGCAGACGACTCTCGTCGTCTGGCGCATAAGTCGGAATTTGGAGGCCCTACCAGGATCCTCCTTACACGTGTTGATACGGATCTTCCAGCTGTTGAAATATTCAGACAAGACGTCCAGGCCTCTCTGAAGTTTGGCAGTCAGAGCTTCGATGACCCTACCCTTGTAGACGATGGATGTGTCATCTGCGAACAGAGACAACGATCCACCATCAGGGAGAGCCGGCATATCGGAGGTGAACAGGTTGAATAGGATGGGGCCAAGGATGCTTCCTTGTGGAACCCCGGTACCGATGTTGAAAGCATCCGATGTGATGCCATTCAGAGAGACTCGGAACGTCCTGTCTGATAGATAGTTGTTTATGATCTTCACTAGGAAGATTGGAAGACCGTACTGCTGCAATTTGAAAATGCAAGAAAATATGTTGATTACAGTTTTATAATCGCCAACGTTTCGATCCAGGGGTAGATTTTAAATCTTTATGAGCTGAATGAAAGACAGGACACATTTATATTCCCTGAAGAAGTCGAAGTCCATAAACCGAAACGTCAGACATAAGACGTCGTAGAGTATTGATCAACCGTTGAACTGAAAAGCCAATAGACGAAAAATTTGTATTTTTAAGTTTTAAGGCAGGCGGATAGTATATTAGTTTTGGTCGAACCCCTATTTTAATTAGAGGAATCTCTATTGTGTGTACATTCCTAAATTACACACATTTATGGGCGGTTCCTAACGGGAGCGTATGGATTTGAGGTGGGTGTGGGCACACATATCCTCGGGTTCGTGCAATACTGTCACAACTCAAAATTTACCACTTTTCTGTTTTATCTGTTAAAAGCATACAAAAACCAAATAATGTCACCTTATTTACAAAGGCTGTACATTCCTCTAGAGGACAAAACATTGCAATCCTTTAAACCTGGACAAGCCTCAACATGAAAAAAAGTGAAATTTTCGACGATTACAATTTGAGTTGACAGTATTGCATGAGCCTGACGATATGAAAAATTAGTGAGTAACCAGCTCTAGATTTGCTATGACAAGCGACAGCACCATAGGCGTAACCATTTGGGGGTGAGAGGGGAGGACAACTGCCCCCCTAAACTCAGCAACACAAAGGCTTTCGGTGAAATGGCGTTTGGTGAAACGGCATTCGGCCAAATTTTCCATAGTAATTTTTTTTTTCGACGCTTCTTAGCTCGAAACCTGGCTACGTCCTTGAACAGCACTGATAGGAGCACAAAACTTCAGGCTGACCAGAAAATAATCACCGCCGTTTGACACATCGTCATACTTTGTCGCACATATTCCTCATTATCGCAACTCAAGGCTCACTGAAGAAGACTCCAAATGCACGAGAGAATGACGTGCACAATTTTATTCAAATTAAATTGAACACTTCTGGATCAACAATAGAAAAAGGCCCATCAGCATTTGTAAACAAACCGTTCCAAAGCCCATTACTCACAAATCGAAGGCCGCCCACACAAACCAGTACCATCATCGTGTAGGTAGAAGTTTCCCCTATCCGATGATGGTGTTGGTTTGCGTGGGTGGCCTTCGGTTTGTTAGTAAAGGGCTTTGGAACGGTTTGTTTACAAATGCTGATGGGCCCTTTTCTATTGTTGATCTAGACTTGACATGCAGAACAAGTGAACCATCGTGCCACTCGGAAGGCGTCAGAACGGAAACTATACGGTAATGAAGAAAATTTCGTTACCGCACACCGAGGCGCTTTATACAAAGGTGACACACAACAAAGAAGTGTTAGTTTGTTTACTAAAATGAACTATGACAAGTATTGCTAAACATATGCTTCTCAAAGATTGAACTTGCGTAGGAAATCAATCTCAGTTGTATGAGAAAGTTCTAAAAACTGCGGTACTCAGCGCTGAGTTCCTGCTTTTTTTGGAAATTTCTCCATACCTCTGAAACTGCCAAAAAAGTGACTCTCTCCCTGAGTTATTCTCAGTGACCGTGTCGGCGATCTTTCTCATGGCTATTTAATGCGTCCAAACTGAAACTTCACGTCTGCTTTCAACTTCAGTGACCAGTTGATAAATGACAGATTTCTAAGCCTGTACACTTAACCATTTGTAAATTTTGTTACAAAGACAATTATTTTGGCCTCGGGTAGATAGAGATATTTTCCATCACCCGCTGGGGATAAAACTGGCATGGCACACTGAGATCAATAAACTTAAAAATTTCATATGGCTTGACTTATGAACGACACATATGAATTTCATAAGCGTGACTTATGAATGATTTTCAGCTATAATTAGGTAGCTCTTGTACGCCCCGTAATCTAAGCGTCCATGATTCGGTTCCAGTCTGCTCCGTTTTATTTTATTTTTTTTTTGGTTTTCATAAGGCCAATTAATGAAATTCATACCGATTTCTTATGGCTAAAATTCATAAGTTATTCTTATGGAATTCTTACGTTCTTTTGCCGCAGTGCAAGGTGCTGCTTGAAAGTCCTCTAAAATCGGCTATCTTTTAAAAAGGCTTGATGATGCACATTTCAAAATTTTGAACTTCTATGTATAGGAGGGTTGCTTCAAAAGGCCTTTTTTTTTTCGAATGAAGTACTTTTAATTAACTTGAGAGTTACTGTGGGGGGTAAGAAGTCAAAAATTTTCACTGAAAACGAAACTAACTAAGAGAGTGAGCTATCAAGTTTACTAAGTTTTGAGCCACTTTTACTCATTCGTATGGAAACATTTCTATAAGCGTAGTTCACTGAGCGCATGAGTAACCTGGACTTTTAGAAATTTCTCCATACGAATGAGTAAAAGTGACTCACTCTCTGAGGAAGATTTGTTTTCAGTGCATCTTCGAACTGCAAATCGCCTTACTGTAGACAACATTCGAGGACAATGTACAAGCAATGTTCATACGGCCAACGAGAGTAGCTCAGTAACTGAGTTGAAATCGACTCAAAAGTGGAAAACTCAGAGGGAGAGTAACTTCTACTCAAATGAAAGATAAATTTATAAAAACATAGGTTTCTCAGCACTGAGCTCTTACCTTCAGTTCTCCCGATTCAAGTGATTCAATTTGACTTCACAAGGCCGGTTTAACCAGCTCAAATTTAAATTTCGTTCAATAATATTCGCAAAAACGCTAAATGTTCGTCGATTTTTCAGGAAAAACCTTTTTCGAATGTGACACTACAAGTGCGGGCGCTGCATAGATGGACGAGAACACGTGAATTCCCCTATCAAATTTAAGTGAAAATTTACAAACACAGCCTTAATCATTCTATCGCTTTTTGTAAGTGGATGTCATTGGCTGTTGCCATGCGAGATGGATGCTACAAATGGACACTTGGTTTTTTTGGATATTTATTCACCTTGCGAACGATTCACTAACTCGAAAATAAAACGAAGATAGGACCGATTTCCCACTTCTCTAACGACGACCGTCGGATGGACCTTGATCTTGTGCAGCTGCTTCCTCGGTCGACTGATCGTCGGCTGATTTCTCGGTTGCATCGCTGGTAGGCGACTCGTCCGTCGATGGGAGCTGATCACGGAAACTGGGATGGTCACTCAGATATTTGCGCCGATATTCACCCTCAGGGTCGTACATGGACTCCAGAATCTTGAAATCATCCGGTTGGTTATCGACGATGAAACGAATCACCCGGTCGGCACCGATCTTCTGCTTATCGGAACAATGTTGGCAGTCACTTTCCAACGCGTCCGGTAGTCTCTCTGTGGAGAAGTATTCAAGTAACCATGAATGGATCAAACGGAATCGATAATACCTTTCAGTTCTTTTGCATCGGGAGTGCAGGGGCCGACATTTTTCAAACAGTTGATGTAGTTGTTGAGAAGACGTTTGCTCTTGAAGATATCATCCAAGTTGACGTTGTCGTATTTAGTATCGTAACATTCGACTTTGGGAGCTAAGACAGTGCAGCACAACAACAAAATCCAACAAACCTTGGACGACATGCTAGGAGATGAGCTTCAATGTATTTAATAAACAGAACTGAAGGGCTTTACGATTCTCCAGTCGATTTTATAGTCTCAAACTTTGTGGGAAGCGATTCTCCGGGAAAATTTACATTTCGTGATCATAATCAATTTAGTGCATCGTTTGGAAGTAAGCTGCCATGCGTGCGAATCAACGATTCGCGGTGGTTTAAAATATTAATAGCACGGTTATAGAATTCGCAAGCATTTTACTACTAGAAAACAAAGTGCCACAAATTGGCTTCCATTTGAGTTTATAAAATGACTCATTCAGTCGACCAAAAAAAACGACACATCCCTCTATTCTGAAATCCAGCTGCGCCTATAGGGGATTGAAGCTGTATTGAATGATTGCTATAATGCTCATTCAAAGTTTTTTTTATTTATTAATATTCTCGTTTCTTATGGATCATCTTATCAATTTTAACGGAGCATACTTGTGGCATTCGGTAAGTATGGTAACCAACAATACAAGGAAACTGTCAAACGATCAGAACGAAATGTGAAAAGTATCAACCCACTGGAAAATGCAAACCGATTTCACCGGTTATGATAATCGATCTGATTCGTTTTGGCACTCCTCATTAAACAACACAACCAGCGAGAAAATTGCAACCTTCACACACCAAACCATCCGATTCGTTTAGTCCCCGGTGAGTCTGAAGTTGATCGTCTCTTTCCCTCCCTGTTCAGACGATGATGCCCGCAAACTACTACCCGGCGAATTCAGTAGGGTCAGTTTATGCTCTCCTCCGTTTTCCATTTCTTGATCATCATCTTCATCGTCATCCAGTAAGAGAAAAAAAAAAAACCCTTTTACGACAATCACGTGACCAATCGGCCGACTGGCTTGCCATTTGGTTATGAAGAATTACGCAATACATACAATATGAAGACCATCCCTATCTCCCTCTCAGCCACTTTGCTTTGATTGGTAAACTGGATTGCATTGGTCAGCACATTTCTGCTTATATATGGACTTCTTATTCAATACATTTTAATATATACATGCACATCATTTTTTAATTTCAGATCACACAAAATGTGGACATTGTACCTTATGCTGATTTTCCTGAGTGTAGCAACTTCCCAGCAATCGCTTGGATTTGGTTACGAAGTCTTACTTACCAATTTAGAACACTTGCGAAACGAACAGAACAATGCTGGTGAAAAAATAGCTCAAAACATCACATTGTCTTTAAACAGAATTATCGGTACAGTTGAAAACCGGTAAACCTTGCACGCGCGAAAATCGATTTTACCCTTGTTTTGTTCTGTCGGTCATAGTGCGCTGTATTCGCACAACGGTGCGCTATAATGCGCACTATGTCCGATGATATGTTGAATCTACAGAACAAGTCCCGTGTGGGATTTTCCGGTGTTCAACTTGACCGACAATAAAAGAATCATAAATTTAAAAGATGAAACGGAATATTAAAGTTTACCATTCATATCAGGTCTACCAGCCTGTCCGGATATTACCAAAGTTAACGGAGTCTACAATATTCGACCCCACCTATCAACCATAGCCCCATTTCCCGTGTATTGCGAGTATGGTACGACGTATGGCGACGGTTGGATTGTAGTGCATCGCCGCTTCAACGGGAACATAAATTTCGACCGAACCTGGACCCAGTACCGAAATGGGTTCGGCTCACTGCAGGGCGAATTTTGGCTAGGGTTGGAAAAGATGCATCAGATAACGCGCAGTGGCAACTATCAAGCGCGGGTCGTCCTAAATGGCGAGAACGGAACAGTCTACGACGCCGAATACCGCCAGTTCACTATCGGTAGCGAGTTTGAGAGTTATATACTTAAGTTCGGATCATATGTCACAGGCTCGGCAGGTGATGCACTGAAAGTACATAGTGGATGTAAATTCTCCTCGACGAATACATGCGCGCAATTATACACGAGCGGTTGGTGGTACTTGAGCTGTCATAACGGGTATGTATTATGGTGGTGGTTCAAATTACACAGTGTTACAAATAAAATATAAATTGAACGAACTTTTCAAGTAGTTTGCCCCGTAACGTGGGTAGATCACCTTTTCGTGGTACGTTACGGGACGTAAGATCTACCACCGATTCCTAGTCCCGACTACTTCAAACTAGGGGAACAGGATTTTTCAGTAATCAAAGAAACACATCTTAGTCCTAGTTACTTTTAATGCCTTGTTGATAGTGACAAAACTCGGCTTTGTCCACCGAGGATGATCTTGAAACAAGGAAAAAATGAGTTAGTTAGTCTTCATCTATGTGATTCCTAATCTTCTATTCGTTGTTCCCCAGTTTGAAGTGGTTAAGACTAGGGTTCTGATGCATAGTCATTATCGGTGTCATTCCTTAATTTTGTTGCTAAGAAATCCAATTTTGACTGACAAAAGGGCGCGCCTTTGGAGGGTATTCCAACACTCCGAAGGGTATAAATAGCGGTACCTTTCAATTAGAGTCGGATCCATGCGATAAATGCAAGAATGACAACAGTAAAAATAAATCGAAAACTTCATCATTTCTCAAATTAATACTTATTGTTAAAAAACCAATTTTGGCTACTATCAAGAGTAAATCAATAATTTCACAACCTTTTTTTATTTTTTAACGGTTTAGGAAAGCAAAACGTCAGTACTTTTAAAATATATGCACATTAATGGCAATTTTACTGAAATTTGTTGAGATTTTTTTATTATAACATTTCATTTTTATACAATAAAAATAGCATTTTTTTTTTTTTGCTTAAGATGTCATTAAGAAGACTAGAACATAATTATCTCCCCTCGTTATATAATGTTACTGGTTTTCCATGCAATTCTGAGGCTTTGTTCAAAATTTGAGCCAAATCGGTCAAATATTTCAACTGTGTTGGGGACATAATACCACCGCGACCATTACTTTGGTCTTTTTTTATTGATGCCATAACGTAATGGTAAGCCAATAATATTTGAGTAACTACCATTATTTTTGTAGGAAATTATCCCAACATTCCTTATGAAATTTATTACCTTACACAGTGGGACGAATTCAAAAACAGTGGGACATGGCTATTTGCGACGAAACTATTGAGTATAGCTTTTTGTTGTTTTCTAGAATAATTCTTTATTTTTGAAGTACTTTATTTAAGTAGTGGTAAATTTTGGTTAGGGAGGGTATACACTCAGATAATAAAAATAACTTTTTTATGTCTTGTTAAATTTGATGAACACCTATGGAAACTGTTGGTTTTCGGACCAACGGTACTGCAAGGGTTATTTCCAAAATAATAATCACCGCAATGAAACACAGAATGTGGGTGTTGTTAAACGGTTGATTATAATTTTCCTGATGGGGAACAAGGTTGTACATGAATTCTGTTAGTTGTATATAATTCAATAGTGTGTCTGAATTCATATTTTAACATGTTTCTATGTTGGTTATTGCATAAGTGGGTGTAAATGTATGTCTGTACAATAAGTTGACCGAAAACTTGACTTACGTTTAGTCCCTTACTTTCAGTCCCTGTCTAGTCGGATAGTGTATTTTCGCTGGAGTCGCTGTTTACAATTAGAATATAATCAATTTTTAGCATTAGTTTAACTGAATTTGCCTTACCGTGATTGTGCAGTTTAGCAGATAAGTTTAGGTTAGGCTCGAAATAGGTGGGAACGACGCAATGCAATGCTAGATGTTACATATTTCATTAATTTCAATAACAATAATTCAATGCAGTATAATTACCTAGTATTACGTCAGCAAACACTAATCGTAAGCTCCTTTAGGTTAACACACTAATTTAAGTTAAATGTTAATAGTAACTTAGAGTAAGATTTCTCTGCACACTCTGTTTTTTGATATTGTGTTTTATGTTTTGTTGTTTTTCCTTATCCTACTCACCCTTTGACAGCCGTTGACGTTACCTGTCATGCCGCTTTCCGACCGTCTGTTGTATGTGTATGCGTGGTGCAAGGTTTATGCAACATCAGGTGGGCTGGCAGCGAGGGGCTCGCCAACAATCCCCCGGGTACGTCAACCCCCTGGTCGACTACATCTCGTCGCGTCTGATGTCCAATACGGCTAGCTTAACCACCGGTCGTTCGTATACACCAGTGGCGGTTCGAATTGTCGCCGATCTCACCTCTCCATCTCGTCCGGGGCGTGTCGCAATCACTCTTCCTTTGGGCCAACAGTTGCGAGGATGGTTAGGGTCCACTATGACGACTACGTCGCCGATTTTTACCGGTAGCATACTGGAAGCGTACCATTTAGTCCTACGCGTAATCTCCGGTAGGTACTCAGCTACCCAACGTCTCCAGAACTGGTTGGCGATGATTTGCGAAGCACGCCAACACTGACGCACTGCGGCACCGCTATCATCAAGTGTGGTGAGCGGTTTGGCTCCGTTTGAGCTTCCCAGAAGGATGTGATTGGGTGTGAGAGCTGGGGCGGCGTTGTCTTCGATCGGAACATGCGTAAGTGGTCTCGAGTTCAGTGTGTTCTCGATCTCGGCTAATGCGTTGCGCAATACTTCGTCCGATGGACGTCGAGGCAAGTTTAGAGACTTGAGGCTGGTCTTCACACTGCGGATCAGGCGCTCCCAGCTCCCACCCATGTGTGGTGACGATGGTGGATTAAAGGACCAGGTAGTTTCGGAGCTGACGAACTCCTTCATCATTGCTTCATGATCGAGCTCTCGTACCACCCGACCTAGCTCATTGTTTGCGCCCACAAAGTTGGTTCCACGGTCGCAGTATATGTAGCGTGGAACTCCGCGACGGGCAATCAGATTGCGGATGGCCATCACGCATGAATCTGTACTGAGAGAGTGTGCGACTTCAATGTACACTGCTCGCGTGGTCATGCAAGTGGCTAGCATTCCCCACCGTTTTTCAACCCTCCTGCCAACAGTGACCTCCATGGGACCGAAGTAGTCGATTCCTACGTGGGTGAATGGTCGAGAATGCGCTGCTAATCTTGCCTCAGGGAGGTCAGCCATAATCGGAGGATTCGGCACAGCTCGATCGTTTTTACAACGCTGGCAGTTTCTTCTGACCTTGGCACAGCAAACGCGGATTCGTGGAATGGAGTACTTCTGTCTCAGCTCGTTGACTACGGTTTCTTGGTTGAGGTGGTGGTATTTGACATGATAGTGGGTGATGATCAATGTGGTCACGTGGTGGTCACGGGGTAAAATTATCGGGTTCTTCGCTTCGTCGGTGATGAAGCGGCAGCAAGATGTGCGTCCGCGCATACGCAAGATCCCGCTATCGTCGATGAACGGAGATGATTTGAACAGCGGGCTGCTTCGTGGTAACGGCTTTCCTTGAAATATGGCAGCAATCTCCTCAGCGAAAGTATCCTGTTGGGCTTGGCGTATAACACTCTCTTCAGCTGCACGTATCTCCTCCATATACAGTGGACCAGTGCGACTAGGTTGATGCATGATCCTACGGCGACAGTTGGTCAGGAAGCGGAAGAGGAGTCCGACTACGTTGACTAGATGTTTCCAGCTGGAATAATCGGTAACGCATAGCGCCGGTGACGATGTCGAGACGTGTGCGACTAGATGGGATCGCAGTTCTTCTTGCGTTGACTTGTTCACATTCGTTTGCTGTGGCCAGTCAGCTTCACTCCGCCAGAGAAATTTGGGACCGTTGAACCACCTGCTACCAACACTCAAGTCCGGTCGCCCCTGCCACTTCGTGGCGTCGTCTGCAACATTTTCTTTCGTTGGTACCCAGCGCCACTCAGTTGCTTCCGTAGTATCGAGGAGCTCACTAACTCGGTGCGCCACGAACGGTGTGAACCTACGGTGGTCCGAGTTGATCCAACACAGTACATCTCGGGAATCGGTCCACCAGCAGCGTCGTGCTACTCTGATGGTCAAGGATTCTGCGATGGTTTGTGCTAGCCTTGCACCGAGAACTGCGGCTTGCAGCTCCAGCCTGGGGATCGACTGAAATTTCAAAGGAGCGACTCGGGATTTTGCTGCCACGAGAGTACATTCCACCTCTTTGCCGTCGGAGAATCGAAGATAC